AGTCGCCTTCCTCGAAGTCCAGGCTGCGCACCAGCGTGATCGCTCCCGTCTCAGAGTCCAGCTCGAACATCTGCGAGGCTTTCACAGAAATGGACTGAGATGAATACGTCATGTATCCGTTCATCCCGTCGTCGGCGTCGGTGGCCGTGAGGGTGACGAGGACGGAGCCCACGGGCACGTCCTCCGCCACACGCACCGTGTACTCCGCCTGGCCGAACACGGGCGCGTTGTCGTTCGCGTCCAGCACCGCCACGCGGATCCGCGCCGTGCCCGTCCGCGCCGGCTCTCCGCCGTCGCTCGCTCGCAGCACCACCTCGTGAAACGCCGCCTCCTCCCGGTCCAGCGCCTTCGCCAGCACCAGCTCGGGACGCTCCTCCCCGCCGGGGCCCGCCTGCACGGCCAGCGCGAAGTGCTCGTCGCCGCTCAGCTCGTACCTCTGCAGGGAATTCGACCCCACGTCCGGGTCGTGAGCCTCCGCCAGGGGAAACCGCGATCCCGGGGCTGTCAGCTCGCTTATCCTCTCCTCCAGCTCAATCTCCTTGAAGCTGGGCGCGTTGTCGTTAATGTCCGTGATCTCCACTTCGATTCCGTAAACCTCCATTTCCCCCTCCACTATCACCTCACAGCGCAGCACACATCGCTGCATGCTCTCGCACAGCTGCTCTCTGTCTATCCTCTCCGCCGTCACCAAATGTCCCGTCTTCCCGTGCAGGGCGAAATACTGCGTCCTGCCTTTGTCCAAGATGCGGACGCCGCGGTCGCGGAGCGCGGGTAGCTGCAGCCCCAGGTCCTTGGCCACGTCGCCCACGAACGAGCCCTTCGGCAGCTCCTCGGGGACCGCGTAGCGCAGCTGCCCCCACGCCGCCTCCCACGCCGCCACCAGGACGCACCACAGCAGGGCTCGCTCCCGCCGGCCCCGCCGCCTCCCCGCCGCGCTCATCGCCGCCGCCGCACCGCCGGCACCGCACCACCGCCGGCACCTCCCCGCCGACCACCGACGATGCGGCTCCCG